CTCTCCCGGTTGTTGTATGAAAGAAGCGGAAGCCCGTACTACAAACTGAAGAGAAGGCTGAGCACGTACGCTGAGTGTGGAAATCAGATGCGGGTAGAGAGGGAGCGGTCTGCAAGCAGATTGTCGGGGTTGTGCGGAGCCGAGATGGTGAGTAGATTTCTCTCCAGCGGAGGTCGTCTTCTGGGTGAGTGAAAGAGGAGGGCCACACCGCAGGGGTCCTCTCAAGGTCTCCTGGATCTGAAAACCGGAGCCCAAAACGCTGGACTTCTTCAGCAGAATGCCCCCATGGTGTCCAGGAGTAGCGTGTTTTCTGTCACCATCCAATGCAACCCTCGCTGTCACCCTGCCTGAAGTGTCACCAGGCCACTCGGAGTTGGCCAGCAAAAGCCTCCCTCCTCCAGTCTTCAGTCGACAGAGAGTCAAACGGCTGCCTCTTAGAAGCCGTGTTACGGCCTTTCTCAACTCAGAATGGACAGACTGGAATCGTAGAATGTTAGCACCAAAAGCACACGTATGTCAGTCCTATTCACTCTTCTCACTTTACAGGTTAAGACCTTGAAGTCCGAGGAAGTTAAGCATCTTGCTCAAAAGACAGTAGCAGAGTCTGGTCCAGGACCCAAGTTTGTCACTCCTGGGCCACTGTCCCCACCGGGGGCCCTAGTAGGTCACCAGGAAGGTGGGGCAGGGTCTGAGAAGATAAGGGTGGTCCCCGGTGACTAGAGGAAGGACCACCTCTTAGAAACTCCAGGAGAGAGAAGAGTGACATTTCCAGCAAGCCATGTGGAAGCCGAGTTGCTCTATCCTGTCCACTTCGCCAGGACTTCCTGCTGTTCCCCAGCGTGTGCGTCATTTATTTTGGACTTCAAGGTTTGGAACACACCCAGAGTTCAATGAGAAAGTTGAATAACCACAGGAGCACCTGTGTTGGATGACTGCAGGGGGATTAACAGGCCCAGGCAGCTGGGCTCAGATTTCGGAGGGACTTTGGTGAACTGGAGATGGAGGGGCAGCGGGACAACAGATCAAGGACGCTCTCTGGCAGTTGCGCTCGGCCGGGCAAAATGAGGTGGAAGCCAAGCAGTTTCTGGAACAGGCATTGTCGCTTGCTCCCTATGGTGGGGGGGGTGGGGGGGGGCAGCAGGACCACGTGTGGATGGAAACATTGGTCTGATTGCTGTTTTCCTCAGCACCTGCCAAACTAGAACGCCTCCCCACGAGTCTGAAATGTACTTAGCATGAGCTAATGCACCTTTACCCCGACTGGGGCCCTGGTTAAAAAAGGCAGACCGGACTAGGAGGAGCGCTCAGAGCAGTGCTGTCCGGGAGAAAGAAAATGTGAGCGGAGATCACCAACTTGCAATACCTAGGCTCAGAGCAAACAGGTGGCAGTCATGTGAGCAATAGAAGCGACCTCACAGTAGTAGTAATTTGAACAATATAGTCCAAACAGTGTCACATCCACGTATGGTAAGAACTACCACCATGCGGTATTTTACACTCTTTTGTGCTGTGCGTATTTTCACATTTAAAGCGCAGTTGAGTTCACAGTGGCCATAGTTGGAGTGCCCAAGAGCCCATGTGGAAATAGCGTGGCCCCTATTGGACTGCGCAGGCTCAGAGGAGGAGCTGTGGCGTGTTTAGAAAGGGGGGCTGGTGGGGGGGGGGGCAGGAAGAACTTTAGCAAAAACAAATCCACAGCCACTGAGTCCATTTGAACGGGGGCGAGAAGGGGAGACGGGCGGAAACCTGGGAGCACAGGTGTGTGAAGAGAAGGACTGACTCTTGAGGCTGGGCCTCAGGGACCCCCATTACACACACACACACCCCAAAGCAAAACCCAAACCGGTGCCTTACATTTCCGCAATACATAAAGCTTCCTCTACATCCACAGAATGCATTTCAGGTCAGGGGACGTTGATTTTTCCTCACAGGATAAATGCTCTTCTCCTCTTACTAATGGGGTAAATGTTTATCAAGCCTCCTTCATTTACTCAGCAGATGTTAAGCGAGGAAGGGAGTCGCCTCCACCTCTCAGGGCGGGGACTGAGTTTGTATTGTGCAGATGTAAGCTGTCGTGATGATCATTCTCTGGTTGGAAATGGCCTGAGACCCAGGACAGTACTAGCAGGGCCATTGAAAGCCCGTCCTTGGGTTACTGATGAGACGGTTTCTGTTACTGCACCCAATACCGTTTCCGTTTCCGTAGGAAACGTCTCTGAGCACCTGGAGTCAGTGACTCATCGAGGGGAGGCGCTCTGGTGCCTGTTAGTAGAGGTGTGGTGGAAGCTGGGAGTTGCTCCCGCAGAGGGTCTCCCACCGTGACCTCAGCGGATGGTGGGGTGTGGTAATGAGTGAGACACCTTGGGGCTCGGCTGGGACCTTGCGACCCCTCACACAAGCCTTCCAATTTCTCTGCGCCTCAAAATGCCATCTTCGTCCTCCTCAAGCCACAAGGGTAGTCCAAAAGCCAGATGGCGACACGAGGAGGTGCATGATGCAGATGAGGCAGTGGCCCTAAGAGGGCTTTGAAAGCTGTTGTAAAAGGACAAGCTGGAGGGGGGGGCGGGTGCTTTAGGAAGGAAAGGGACTAAAGTATCAGTTCCTCCTCTCTGCGGCTGGTCCACCAAATCTCTTTTAAGCATCAAAGTACTTGGATTCTACAGTGAATTCTACTCACTCCTCGGGGACTCAGTTGATTGAAGGCACTAGGGACTTCTCTAGGCCCTGAGGTGCTGCTGGGCTACTAACAAACCTCAAGGTTAGCAGTTCAAACCCCTCAGGAGATGCCCCTCGGCAGAGAGATGAGGCTGTCTGCTCCCGTAAAGACCTAACAGTCTCCAAAGCCCTATATGGGGTTGCTAAGGCTTAGAACCAACTCAGTGTTGGTGGGTTTTGACTCAGGGCCTTCGACGGGCTGTGGGGATCATGCCAAGAAATGGTCTGCCTTCGCTCTCTGCTCTACTTGTACCTGAAGTCAGGAGGCCATCAGCGGGAGTTTGGAAATAATCCGACTGTTAGGAGAACTTTGGTTCACAGGAGGCATGACCAGACTGATCTTGACCCGCAGTAGACAGAGTCTAAGTGCAGGATCATTGAGATGCTCCACGACCTTGCTACCGGAAGCATCGGTGTCCTGACGAGAAATGCCGAGTCTCAGGTGGGGGATTCCTCCTGCCTCAAAGCACAATCTGTGCTTTAACAAAATTCCAAGCGATAGCTGCAAACGGGGGTCCCTCCATCGGTGTGTTAAGCTCTAATGCACCGCGCGCGCACACACAAAAGTTTGGGAGGTCATGCCCTACAGTATCCCTGCCACCAGTCCACTTGGCCTCAGCTCTGCTGCTATGCCGGGCCACTGGCCCCTTCTGGAGGTAGCTCCGTCCATTGCTGGGCAGCTCTCAGAGAGGTTCTCTGCCCACCGCCTGGACCACTCAGGCCACCCAGAACAGGTGTCCTTCTTCCGCCACGTGGAAGCTCACAGAATGCGTTGTTTGCAAATGCCCTTTTTTGCCCTCTGCTCCACGGAAGCCTTGACCCAGAGGCCTGATGGGTGGTGAGCTGACCTTGTCAGGTGTGCTGCCCAGGGTGCTGAGACATCATAGGAGGAGCATGGAATGGCTCTTCCTGGTTTCATCTCTTCCTGCCTGCCAGAGCTCAAGGTGACTGAGCTGAGTGGCTGCTTACGGTTTGGAAGTCGGTTGTAGACCCTGCCTCCACTATACACGAGTGTGGAGGTGATGTCCAGGGATGGAAGGGCCCTGCAGGGCACCTAGGGAGTCAGGCTACTTATAGTGGAGATGAACAGAAGAGTCGGGTGGCGTGGAGTGGAAAGAACAACCAAGACCACATTACCTTTGTCGAGCTGTATGACTTTGGGGCGTGTGCTCGACCTCTCTGAGCATCGGCATCTTTGGGTATTTTTTAAAAAACGGGCTGGGGATGCCTCTCCTGCTTGTCTCAGGGCTTCTGTGGGAGTCCCAACGATCATGTTCGTATGTGCACCCCGTGAGATGGGAAGCAGCCTGAGAACAAGAATGGGAGATGCGGTGGTACAGGAGATGTGGCCAGGAAACTGGTCTACCTGTCTGGTCTTCGGGAAGGCCCTCACCTTCTCTGGGCCTCTCTGAGGTCAACTGGGTCTGCCACAGAGCTTTCCTAGTCCCCTCTCAGAAGGCCCTAGAGTTGTGTGACCCATGGCTGTTATCTGACGATGGCGCTTCAAATAGCCCCTTAGGGAGACTTCCCCGTGAGGGCAGCGATCCCAAACCCTTCTTCCAGTGAGGCCCCTGCTCGGCTATGGGAGCCCTGCTTCAAAGAGGCATCAGCTGGGCCATGATGGCACCTGTGTTTCCATGGCAGCGTGGGACAGGTATCTGGGATGATGAGGAAAGAGTCCTGACTTCATAGATACCGCTGGGTTGGAAACACACCCTGCGATGTCTAGGAGCAAGCTCTGCCCTGGGAGGCGGCCACGCTCACCTCCTTCCTGTACTGTACGTCTTTTCTCAGAAGGAAGCCTTGTCCGATAATATTACCTAATAGTTCCATGAGCCTTCGCTGTCAGAGGAGGCCCTCGGTCAGCGAAAGAACTGGAATGAGCCTCCGAGACAGCACTGCCTCCCAAGATGCCTGCTGGCTGAGGGTCAGGGGCCGATGTGAGGGACTCATGAAGGGACAGGGCTGCTTCTTGGGACAGCCCTTCGTGACTGTCTCCTGCCAGCCCTGCAGGAGGCCCTGTGCGCATGCTCGCTCACCACCTCCATGTTTCCAAGTTGTCATTTCACCGCCCCAGGATGCTTGCTTCTAACGCTGCCCATCCATCGGCATTTCCTCCTGTGCACCCGCTGTGTTGTGGAGACCCGGGGGCCACAGGCCGCGGGTGTCCGGTGTCATCGAGTGTGATGGTGTGGTACGTGTATTTGCACACGCTTTTACTTTGAATCCTTTCCAACGTGACATCCGCTAAAATGTCTCCCTTATGATTTGCTTGGTGATCACAGCCTTCTCATCATTCATTGAGAGCAGGACCTGATCTCACAGAATCTGAAAAGAGCTATGTGGTAAGACGCCCGCTGAATAAGACCGCGTAGCTTTGTCTACAGAGACTGCCGTGCTGGCTGTCACAGTCCAGACTAGAGTAATGCCTGGTTAACCCACAAAGCCATTAGTTAAGAGAGTTTTATGGCTATTGTATCGGAACCATGTTAGGCTAGCTCCCCTCCTCACCCTCCCAAAAAGAAAACAAATTTAGAGACAGTATTTCCACTCTGCTTAAAGGTGGGATTAAATGAATGTATTAGTGCATGATTGGGAATACATATTTGCATTGCTATTCTATTATTTCATTTGTTACTCACTAATTACAGGCTTTTATGCTGCTGCCTTTTTTTGTTTTTCAATATTCATACTAAATCCAAAATTCTTCTGTATCTTACCTGTTTTTCCATGCTTACGCCTGGATCCCTCCTGCACTCTACTACTGGGACCTCCTATGTATTTTTTAACCTGGATCTTCAACTCCTTTGTTTCCCCGGACTTGTGTGCTTCGTCTGGAATGTCACATCTCTTCCTCTCTCTCTCTCCCTTTTTTTTCCACCCCCTTTTTGTCCCCTTGTTGGCTGTTTTCTGGGGGTCTCTGGATGTCTCGGGGCCACCTCGCAGGAAGCAGTCTGCAATGAGATCATAAACATTGCCGAAAAGTCTGTCCGTTACTGCAGCACTGTTTCTCATCCCCTTGACTTTCGTCACAAGGTGTCCCCTTTTGACAATAAATCATCTTTAATCATTTCTCAGCAACCTCAAGCCCAGCAGCGAAGAGTCACCCCAGACAGGAGTCAAACCTCACAAGATTTGTAAGTACCCTTGGCAAACGGGCCTCCTCACAGGCTGGGGGGACTGCTGGCTGGAGGGGGCAGGTTGGGAACTGGACAGGGGAGCAGCCGTTTGGGGGAATGAGCTCATTGCTCCAGACTCCCTGCAGATGTCCAGTGAAGGCCCTGATTCCCGTTGGCCAGTGTGAAAGCTGATGGCGTGCGAATAAAGGAAGTAACAGACTACGGGGAGGGGAGGCAATGTGAAGGGCCAAGCTGACTTCCGCACAAAGGCAGCCGCTTGCTGGTGTGAAGCCTGGTGCTGTGGGAACATAGAGGAACCCCAAACCCCAAACTGATCTCACTGCCATCCAGTGGATGCTGACTCCTAGCAATGCTAGAGGGCAAGTAGAACTGCCCCTGTGAGTTTCCGAGACTGTACCTCATTAGGGGGTGGAAAACCCTCCATCTTTCTCCCACAGAGCGGCTGTTGGTTTCAAACTACTGACCTTGCAATTAGCAGCCCCATACTTCACCACCACGACACCAGGACTCCTGAGCACAGGGGAAGGGGCACTCTGGATTGATTGAACATGAATGGAAAAATTGGTACATACATTCACTTAAAAAGTTTTTTTACGAAAGAAGAATTCTTGGATAGCTCTTGTGTTCCAAGCACAGAGGAGGAGAGACCTGCGCAGAGCAGTGGAAAGACACATAGGGTGTTGAGTGCTAGAACAGCAGGGTTCAGGTCTTCCCAGCGGAAGGAGCCATATAAGTAAACGCATGGACGAGGGTGGTGTGTTTGGAGAGCAGAGTGGCTGAAGTACGTCGTCCGTGGAGGACACATTAGAATTGACTGTTGGCACCTGATTGTAGAATCCAGACTGCTCGGATCTATGTGGACTCCATTCTGCGGGCACTAGGGAGCCCCTGGAAGTTTTTGACGTGCGGAACATAATGCTCACATTTAGTTTTAAGGAGAGTCGTCAGTGGCTGTCGGGGGGACAAAGACACGAGTTAGGAGACATTAATCCAGCCAAGTAGAAATGAGGGCCTGGATAAAGACATAATTGATGCTTCGAAACCACAGAAATATGTTCAGATTAGCTGAAGGAGATCGAGGGGGAGGAAGAAAAGACAAAGATTAGAACTGTAGGGAACCAACATTTCAGACAACAAAGGAATAACCGGGAAAGGAGACCGAGAGGCACAGCAAGGGATGCAGGAAAAGGTGTGAGAGAGTCAACGGCCGCCACAGAGCAGAGAAAGCAGTGTGTGGTCAGCGGGACACCTGCTTTGGCCACAAAAGGGAGGAAGTGGAAAATGAGCACCGGGCATTCTGCCTGCCACTGGGAAATCAGTGATGACCTCAGAGACAGCAACATCGGGAGGGAGGTGGAGGCGAGCTACCTTTGAATGGGCTGCTGACTCACACTGGCTGTGAATGGCGGGGCGGAGGGTGGTGGCAGTGCGTTCAGGATGGGCCATGGTTTTTGTACGAGAGGAAAGGAGCTGACCAAGTCAAAAAGGAAAAGGAAAGCGATAAAGATGCAAGAGGGAAGGAAAGGGTGGGGAAAGCCCAGGGAAGGGTGTTCAGCGTGGCCAGGAGCAGAGGCCATTGCCTGCCCCTGACAGCTGGGCACAGACAGACGCAGGAGGAACAGGGAAGGCGGAGACAGACCTCTGGAGGGCAGGAAACTGAAGGTGCTGCGCACAACAAGCTTCCAGGTTCAGAAGTAGGGAGGGGGGCGAGAATGCTCTGCTGAGTCTAGGGTGCCAGGCTAACGGGGCACGGGGGGCAGGAGCAGCGTGAAGCCCCCTCAGAATTGCAGCTAGTTGGTGGACCAGAGCAAACTTGTGGGACTTTGACCAGCTGGTCTCCACTGTCGGCCCGAGAGGGCAGAAAAGCAGGTGCGGGAGTTGTCTCCCAGAGCCAAGGCCAGCTGAGCTGCAGTGGGGGGGGACAACGGAGGGGTGGGGCTGTGGTTACAGGGACAAGGCATCCTAGGACGCTGACCTGGACACACATGGAAAGACCCACAATAGGAATCCAGGTGGGATAGGAGACAGCAGGTAATTGCGGAAATCAGAAAACAAAGGGACCAAAAAAAAATTTTTAATGCATATTCATATGCCAGTAGGAGACCAATCTGCATTCGTTAACTCTTCGTGAGACACTATTCTTCTAGCGGATAGATCCAGGCAGTCGGAAGATCAGTACATTTGGATAAATATGTTAAGTTAAATCATTGTGTTGCCTTCCCAGCAGAACAAACCTTTTGCTGCTGGGCACTGGTTTCTTCCCCTGTTTGAGTCTCTCTTCTTGCCCATACATGAGAAGCCACGGAAGTCTGCTGGGAAGGGAAGACAGCTTGTTATGAGGTTTTATATGCTACTATGATGTTGCAAATTGCAAATAGAATTGTGAAACCCGTGTGTAAGTAGGTGCTGCTGAAGTATTGGCTGGAGGAACCAATGAAAACCCACAAACCATTTCCTTGATGCCAATCCAGTTCTCAGACTTCCCCAGACGCCCTCTGCTCTCTCTAGTGGCAGCTGCTAGGACAGAGAATGATGCAGGCCAAAGGCCATCAGATCAACTAGCATATCAAGAATAGGACCCCTCAAATATCCCTGGGACTTAAAAAAATGCAAAGGAGTTTCTGAAAAATAACACTCATATTTAAAATCAATTAATGAAATGCTTTTAGGCATGGAAAGAAACCAAAAGTAGTTTTGCAAATCAGTGAGGCCATTGTAAAATACTTTTTATACCTTGCCTCTGTGCATTTGATCTCCAGATAAGACCAGATGACATCAATATTATTTCATCCGAGTGTAGGAATGTCTCTGGGCTTAAGTAATTTAGAATTGTTCTGGATAACCTGCATGAATTACTGTCTATTAAAAGAACAAGGCTTGGTTAGCTATTAAGGGGTGCAGGCATCTAGGCAAAAGCACTTGATGCTGGGAAGCAAACCACTCTAAATATGAGGATTCATCGGGACTTGCAGTCAGACGTTCCCCATTCCTGCCAGTCTTAATGTTGATGCATCTCCTCAAATGCTGACTTGTCAGAGAAATACCCAATAAGACACTTTTACTAAACCTCACTGACGACACCACCAAAGCGCTGATTTACCTGAAATTAAAAACTTGAACTTTCTTGCCTCTCACAACATATATCAAAACGAATTGACGTTGGCTCAGAGACATGGATGTAAAGCATAGGACTGTAAAGATCATCAGTAAAAATTAGGGCCAAACTTAAGGGCCCTAATACGTGGCGTAAATAAATGACCAAACAACTAAAACACACACAGAAGAGAAACTAGACGACAGGGACATGTAGGTACATTCAAAAGCCTTCACCGGAAGTGACGCCACAGACCGGATGTTGGGCCGCGGGAAGGGAGTGCGGGGTGGGCGGGGGAGGACTGGCAATGAGGGATCGGACAAGGAACCCGTCTCTAAAATGTATAGAAGACGTCAACAAGAAAAGGGCCAACTTTAAAGCTTGGGTTTTAAAATGTACCACAGGATCCTGTCCGTGCTCTCGTCCTTCATTGTCTTTTTTTCCCCAATCCATTTTAGATTTAGCTACCAAGCCTTGTATAGCTATCTACCACAGAACGCTGATGAGTTGGAACTCCGAGATGGAGACATCGTTGATGTCATGGAAAAATGTGACGATGGCTGGTTTGTTGGTAAGTGACCACATCGTGCTCTGCGTCCCAGCTTCAGTCCGGAGACCACGAGTAAGGGAGATGTGCCGCCCCTGTTTGCCCTAAGACATTTACATGTTGAATGCAACATGTAAATAGGCCAACATTAGTGGCTTGGAGGTTCAGTTATCAGATTCCTTACGTGACTTTCTTTCACATTTTTATCCTGCATTTGTCTATTGTACGTGTGGTATTTTATTTTTATAACGGTGGCACCAAATTCGGATTGAGCCTAGATCTCTTGCCACAGGGCTCAGGCATGTAGGTAGACGTTCATAAAAAAGGAAGAAAGAAAAGGAAACCCAAACTCAAAGTAGAAAGTAAATGTTTTGAGAATGATGATGACAAGAAATGTACAAATGTGCTTGACCCAGTGGATGGATGGATGGATTGTGATAAGAGTTGTAAGAGCCCCCAGTAAAATGAATTTTAAAAAACCAACAAACCCATACTCAGACTCCCTGCCCTAGATTCCATTCTGACTCCTGGGAAGCCCCTAAATTAGAGCAGAGCTGCCCCAGGGGGTATCTGCTGCTGCAGCTCCTTCCAGAGCAGAAATCCTGGCATTTCACCCACGGAGCGACCGGTGGATCCCACGGTGCCTGGCCCACAACATCTCCAGAGCTCCTTAGACATTCCCCAAGTCTCTCTTATTTACTCCTGGCTTCTGACCATTTTAATGCAAGCAACCAGCTTAATTGGAATAAAAAATTCATGTTTATAGGAAGGGCAGGGGGAGACCAACACCTATTTAGATGGTGTTTAAACCAGACACTCTGTTGCATCTGCTTTCTTAGCTGCTTCCCAATGAGCGACACTGTCAGGGAAGAATGACCTCTCTCTAATAGACTCAGACACTGACTGAGGCCCCAAGAGGTTAGGTAGCTAGCCCAGACTGAAACTCCAGCTCATCTCTCCCCAAATTCTATTCAGTCTGGCCAGACATTCGGATATTGTTGGGAACCACTGACTCATTCACTGCCCCATATTTCCCCCCTACAGATGCTTTTACCTTTTTTTTTTTCCAAAGACAAGCTCTTCCCTGGAAAAGCGTTAAACAAGAGCAGGAATGTCGGGGCCGAGCAGGAAGCATGAATGAGTTGCCAGAAAGGGCTTCCCTTGTCCCCACCAGCTTTTTAGAAAGCCACTGCCCAGGGTCCAGATTGGAAAAGTGACACGTCACATTCACAATTTAAACTTTTCTGGAAGCCACACTGAAAATGTAAACCAGAGCTGCTGAAATTAATGTGAATGATCTATTTTCTGAAACTCCACACATCCAAAATGCTATGTTTTGAACGTACACTCAGTATAACAAATTATTAGGGAGATGTTTTACATTCCTCTTTTTGTACAAAGTCTTCGGAATTTGGGTGTACTGTGCAATTTCAGCACCTCTCAGTTCAGACTGCCTGTCTTCCAAGTCCTCTGTAACCACATGTGACAATCCTAGGCGATAGCCCAGCTCCAGAGTACCAAGTATGTCAGCCACCGAGCCCCTCCAGGGCTGTTTCCATTTGTAAGAAGGGCTTGGGCAGGGCCGCCAATTCCCTAATGGGGCCTTTCCTGGCAGCGGGCTGGGTAAAGGAAGTATCCTGAGGCCAGTGTCTCCCTCAGATTCTTCCATCACCTCACAAAGTAACCTACTAGTCAGACAGGCGACCCTGGGTGGGGCCAACAGTTAAGCACTCCCCCACTAACAGGAAGATTGGCACCTCAAATCCAGAAGAAAGCCCTGCTGATCTACTTCTGAAAGGTCACGGCCACTGAGAACCTGAGAGAGCCCAGCTCTGCTGCAGCACGTGAGGTGGAATCGACTCATCAGCCACTAATCATGTTCTAACTGTCTTTGGCTTTGACAAAGGAGCCCTATTGGTGTCATGGGTTATCAAGCAAAAGGTCAGCAGTTTGAACCCAGAAGCTACTCCTTGGGCAAAAAATGAGGCTCTCAGCTCCCACACAGACGTCCAGCCTCAGAAACCCAAAGGGGCAGTGCTTCTCTGCTACTCTAGCCTCTAGGGTCTCTGCGAGGCAGCATCGACTTGATGGCCGTGAGTTTGGCAGCTGTGACCTACTCTGTTAGCTGCGAAGTTTCACCTCAGGTCAAAACGGCCCTGGGTGTCATGGCTGGTCCCAGGGTTGTATGGAAAAGGACTCGGAGGCTGTGTCTAAGCCAAGGGATCTCTGTGATGCCTGCCAGGAATAAGGCAGTGACGATAAACATGTGTCTTTAGAGAGCGATTCCCAAAAGAAGGCTCTAAATGAGTGACCCAGGATGCCTTGGTGTGGAGCAGCCTGGGCTCCAGGCTCCGGGAACCTTAACAAGGTCAGCAGCAAAGTCAGGGAGTCAACCTGGGGCCCAGGCACAGCCTTCTGGGCTTCTCGATGTCCAACTGTTTCTAATTAAAAACCTCAGCTCTCTCCATTGTATTGGATGAATGTGCCACAATTCCTCCCAAAAAGAGAGGCATTGGAAGAGCAATGGGCCGGCATCCTGTCTCTGATAGAAAGCGTGGTGGTGGTGGTGGCGTCCTGTGGTCAAGCCACTGTCTACTGAATGACCGAGAACAGCCCGTAGAGCGTCGTAGGGCTGTCAACAATCTTTGCAAGAGTAGATGGCCCAGGTCTTTCTCCTTCCGTTAGCAGCCAAGCGCTTAATTCCAACTGACGGTGACCTCACGGTGCCCCACTGCAGGACTTCACAAATGTTGTCGATGCTCTCTGAGCGTCCTCATCTGAAAAATGAACAAACAGAGCCAGCAATATTCGGAATACCTACCATGTTTGCCAGGCCAGGGGACTCTGCAGCCTGAATGGGCTAAGTGAGAGGGGCGGTGCTTTGGAAACCAGAGCCCATGGGTAGTAATGAAGGGATGCGGGAGCAGAAGCCCCTGCTTGGTGATCCCTCATGCTGTGCGTTTGTTTGCTTCTAGGTACGTCACGAAGGACAAGGCAGTTTGGTACTTTTCCGGGCAACTATGTAAAACCTTTATATCTGTAAGAAGACGGAAAACTACCGGGATTTTCTTTTCCAGTTTTCACCGGAGGACAATGCATAATTCCTGAACCAGGCTCTTTGCTCTTAAACGCCAAGTCACTAGGCTAATTCCTGCAGTGGATAAAGTGAGACGCAGATGCAGAGGGGCACAGAGAAGGGTTGTGTTTGAACCCAAGCCTGTCAGCCCCTGGTGTGCATCCGCAGCCAGCGGGGGCGGGGCTGCATCACATGCTGAGGGAAAAGGAATGTGGCAGAGCCCTGTGACTTAGCTGTTTGGGGGGCCACCACCCTCCCCTCCCCCACCTCTTGGGGGCCTGGAGCATTGTCTGAGAAAGAGAGCTAGGCCAGAAATGCCTGCTGCTGCCCCACCCTGACCGGCCTGACTCCAGGGGACCCTTCAGAGAGCCGGGCAGATCCCCGGAGTCAGGGCCCCAGGTCGTGGTGGCAGATGGTACAACTGAAGACATGCGGTTAGGAAATGTGTTCCCATTCGGACAGAAAAGCACACAGGGTTTGCCCTGGGGGAGCTGGTGGCCAGACCGATAAGCTACACTTAGATTTCCTGGGTGGGGGGTGGGGGTTAGGCCAAGAAGCCCTGTAGCTCTTGAGGTCACGTGCAGCGTATTCCTGTCCCACATTAAGAGCATCATAAATGGTCCCCTTCAAGGCAACTGGACCGCACATTGAGAGGACACGGTTCTTAACTGTTCTTTCTGGTCGCCTTTGGCTGGCAGGGTGTGGGCTCCATAGGTCCGTTCCACAGAAAGCCATGAAGCATGCGCTGTCTCTTAACACCCACCGACAGGGGCAGGAGGACACTCAAGGGGTCAGCTCAACGTGTGAGGTCGGTCCTTTGGGATGTAGGGTTTCCTGCACTCTGATGAGGGTTGTCCTCTGCGCAGAAGGTTCAGGGCCAATGGGGCCCCAGAGGGAGCCGGGGAGGCGTTCTTCCACTGCTACCCTGGGTCACCAGGGGGTCTGTTCTTTGTGGGGGTCAGATCTGAGGCTAGAGGCCTCTGCTGCCCAGTCACAACTGTGTCCAATTCAGGGTCCGTATGCCAGACCCCTGGGGGAGACAAAGATAGAAAGGACCCATTCCCTATCCTCTGGAAACTCGGAGGGCCTTGGGGAGGCAGACACCGACCGAAGGAGAACAGAACACCTAAATGCAGACAGACTGTGAAACGTGCAAAGAAGGGTGTGAGAATGGGACGCGTGGCCCCGGAGGGATCTGGAAGGCATCAGGCACTTCAGTCTCCACGGGCCCACCTTTGAGGCTCCGGGATGCTGGAAGGGCCTTTGAGGATCGGTCGTGGCTAGAGCGGCATCGTACTCTTTCCACGTGCTCATCCTCCCCAGGACACAACCAAGACCACAGACGGCAATTCAGGGCCCCAGGGGTGTTTCCACAGAGCTTAGAATTACCCCGGAAGGGTTGCCCCAACATTTGGAGTCTTTTGAAGTCGCAAAGTCGGCTTGAATCCCTCTGCCTCAGCGCCTGCCCCCATCTCCCCGACAGACAGCCACAGTACCCTTTTTTCCTCCCTGCCCATTTTTCAAACCTAGCTCTCAGGAAAGACACACCCACAGACTCATTCATACTATAGTGTAAATTACTAATAAGTATATGTTACCTCTTCCCAGAGACATTTGTTTTTAACTAAAACAGAACCTTCCTCCCAAGGGAAAGAGGGGCGGGGAGGGCTTCCTGGAAAGAAACGGCCTTCTTGATATTCCATTGGATCTAGTAAAAAAACACACCCATTGCATTAGAAGGTTGCGCCACTAGCCAAGAGCCCTCCCTGTTTCTCTTGCTCTCTCCCCCTGCAGGAATATAGTAGAAGTGCGCCTGCACATGCATTTGGCATGGCAGCATCGTGTCCCCCCATTTTGGAGTGGGACTCTTGTATCGGCCACTGTTTCCTAGTCTCTTCTGATTCTCGCTATGAATAACACGATCTCATCTCTAATAGTTTCTCCAGGGGTTGCTTCTTGATGATGTAGTAATTGTGGAGCACCCCTTTAAATACAGCTAGACATGAAACCAATTTGTAAAGCCGCATTTGCATACGATGCCAGCCAGCTCACGCGTTTGCATATCCAGAAACCCAAGTATGCTTCACCAATTCGCCCCGTCTTTAATAAACAAGTCACGTTTTTAACATGTGCATCTAACTTCAGCTTCCTGTGTATGATGAATGAACGGAGGAACCACGGATCCCGGTTGCTCTCTTGTCTCCAGACATTTAGTAACATAACTATTTCTGATGCCGAGATGTTTGTATCAGGCTCAGTGAACACAGCAGGTGCACCTGGGTGACAGCATGCCTTGCAACACAGTTTGATCTTTCAGCCATGCTGCTGGGGAAAGGTGAGCCCCAAACGCTGCCCCTTTTGGAGCCTCCCTGGGATTGGTGAAGGATAAGCCCTAGGCTTACGAACCGGGGCTGTAAATATGTACATTGAACTTTGTAGAGCCCGTGTACCTACCTTGTATAGAAAAGTCCTTTTCAAGAAGTTGGAGCGGCAGGGCAAGCGCCGGTCACATAAGGAAGTCACGAAGTTTTTTGCTTTTTTTTTCTTTCCTCAATGAAGGAATTCCAAATAACTCACATGCAGGTTTTTAAGCACAGAATAGCCATTGCGTAGTTTGGAGACGGTAATCTTGGTTCACAGGATTATGTACTTTTTGTTGCGTCTTTTTGAATTTCTGGTTTTGTTCTTTGGATTGTCATCTGTAGCAGTACTGAGGTTGGCCCAGGCCCGGGCAGTGTTTCATTCTGTTGTGGCTTGGGTCGCTATGGGCCAGAACCGGCTCGAGGGCACCTGGCAGCAGCAGCAATGAACATTCAGTCCAATGGCTAAAATCGGTTAAGAAAAAAAAATTCAGATATTAGGGGGGGACTGACGTGACATTAATTAATCTGGAGCATTGCCATTGAAGTGGCCCCCCAAGAACATGGCTCTGCAGGTGCAGGTTGGGGTTTGTGTTCATTCGCGTTTCCGTATTGCAGTGGACTGGGTGGGTAGACATGTTGAATCACGACATCTGCTGTCCATATTATTTAAATAAACTTTCTTCAGAATTGCGTGGCTTGTGTGTGTGTGCTCACCATTGACCATTTCCTTCCTGTGCTCAAGCTGCCCACAGAGGCTCAGTCGCACCGCGTGGACCTCTGAGGCCCTCCGGCTCCCTTGAAAGGATACTGCTGCTTCCCATGCCCTTCTCAGTTGTTCCCTGCGGACCACCGTGCCCTTCTTCCCAAGATGACTTTGGCCTTGATTATGAAAGGCATGCTTGCACGTCTTTAAAAACAAAAGCAGGACATTACAAAATGGGCATCGTGGATCTTGAATAATTTCTCAGGACACGGACTCCGGAAAGATGCAGCACCTGCTTTTCTAAATGGAATTGAGTGGCTTTGCATCTGCTCTCCCTAGGGTGGGCCGAATGCCATCTGATGTCTCCTCCCACCCCAGACCTAGTGTTAAGACTGCAGCACTAAGCAGACCGTGTCTACGGGCATCCCAAGGTCATGATCAGCCTGTCTCAGTCTAGGGCGGACTTGGTGCCTTCCCGGAAAAACCCCAACCCCCCACCTGTTCTCCCTGCTTCTGAAGCCCACCTCCTGGCTTTCAGAGCAGTGGTCTGCACTGTCTCCCCTTAAGGATGACCCCAGAGAAATCTCGCTGAGGGGGCTGAAGCCCCAGACAGACCTGGGAGCGGATTGTCTTCAAGAGATTGGACCACCTCCACCTCTGTGCTGGGCCCAAGTCATGGATCTTTGGGGCTTCCATGTCTCCAGTCTGTCATCAGCTGTCCCAGCCTCTGTTACTCCCGTGGCCCACACCCTCTTCTCACCCGTTACACTGCAGTAGCCTAAGTGATGTCCCTCGGCTACCCTGTCCCTTACACCATCACATAGCAACCAGAGCGGTCATTCTCAGGATGGTCCAAGGCCCTCATGTGGCTTCCAATGTCACTCAGTCTTCCTATGGATGGCCTATAGGGCCACAGACATACTGCCCCACCTCTCCCTTACCTGTAACCTCCAAAATCCACCAAAAAAACCCAATGTCATGGAGGCAGTGCCAACTCCTAGTGGCCCCAAACTCGCTGCTGCTGAGTCAATTTTGACTCAAATCAACCCTATATGAGTCAATTTTGACTCATATCAACCCTATAGGACAGGCTAGAATGGCCCCTCTGGGTTCCCGAGACTAACTTCACTCAAGGAAAAAGTTCCATCTTCTCCCTCAAAGCAGCTGGTGGATTTGAACTGCCAACCTTGAAATGAGCAGCCCAGTGTGTGACTACTACACCACCTCTGCCTTACAGGGTTTCCAAGGATGTCAATCTTTCTCCTCTGGAGTGGCTGGTGGGTTTGAACTGCCAGCCTTTTCGTTATCGGCCTTTTCTGGCTACCAGGGCTATTTCCTTGCCGCTTACTGATTCCTCATAATCATTCTTGCCACACAGTCCCCTTAAGCTCATTAGGCATGCTTTAGCTTTTTTGTCTTTATACTTGGTGACCCTGGTACCTGGAAGACCCTTTCTCCAAAGAGCCCTGTGATTTTGATCTTAAGTCTCCTTCTCAGTGAGGCCCCTCTTTCCATTTTATATATAACATAATGCTGTCCCCACCCAACATCCTACCCCGCGATGAGTTCTCTACATTCTTCATCGCACTTACTACCATCTAATATACATATCTTTGTTTTCGTGATGCACAAGAGTAATGACTTTGCTTTGCTGTGATATGTCCAGAGCCAAGATGAGCACCTAACATAGTTGGCACGGAGTCACTCGATCAATGTCTGATGAACAACTAAAATGAGCGAGTGCATAGATCCCTGGGCCAGAGGTGCTAAGAATGAAGAAGATGTGTGCGAACAATGAAAAGAGGAAACATGCCATTTCTTACAGCAGCAGACACAAGACACATTCATGTCACATGATTCTTGTGCAAATAGAAACTGAAAGTTCTCTGCAATTATACTACACACACACAGAACCTCCACTTACTCTCTGATGGGTGGTCCTTGGAGCGTCTCTGCATCCACTCACCCCTGTAAGCAATTGCTTTACATCCTCTTAGAGCATTTTCTTAACAAGAGCACAATCCCTGCTGATGAGGTTATTGCCAGCTTTTACCACTGAAAACAAGGCTGCATTGAGTGGGATGACTGGACCGACCAGCAGGAGCATTTCATGTCTTGAAAGAGACTGCTGAGATGCCTTCCAAAAAATATTGTACCAATTTATGCTCTGCCAAGACGATGGGAGTGTCTGCCTCCCACCACCCAGTGCGAATTATTCCATCGTCAGCTTCCCTCAAAAGCTGGTTTTTGGTTCACCGGCTCTCCTCAAACCTCCTGGTCCTCTGCCCTCTACTTGCTCTCTGGCAGGAGCTCTGGTGGTGTAGTGGTTACAAGTTGGGCTGAAATCCACATGGTTGGCAGTTCAACACCACCAGTAGCTCTGTGGGGAAAGACAGCTTTCTACTAAATACAACCTCGGAAACCCACAGGCTGTCTGACTGCTGTGTCAGCATTCCCTGGTGGCAGTGA